TTTGTTCGTTTCATGGCTTACATTATTTTCTCGTTTACACTTTCTAGCGCTTGTTGAACTTTAATTGACGAGTTTGCTTGGGTTCATTAACATTATATAAGCCACCTTCTACCATATTTGTGTTTTGTTGAGTCAAATAAGTCATCGATAAAGGTAAGAAAGGCTATGTTAAATAACTAAATGAAAAACGTTTTCAGAAACATAAAACAATATTTGCACATTGATTTCTGAAAGGTCGCTCAAAAAACGAAAATAGGACTTTTACATTTTTTAAAACGTATGCCGGACTAAACACATTTTTAATAACATTTATTTGATGTAGATATTTTCTTTGAAAAATATTCCTACGAAATTGACTATTTTTTATAATCCAAATATATGTAATACAATATAACGTCGTTTCTTTGAAATCCATGCGCCGCGAATTGCAAGTTGAACCTCTTTGTCTCTTTTGTTTTCCGAATGACAAGAAAACTGAGACCGCGATTGAACGTCTTTACGCAAACTCGCTGCTCTCCGGTAAAAGCGTTTTCGTATGAATTGCTGGCTCTTCATGTACGTGCACATTGGCACCAGCTTTGTTTTTTAAATCAAACTGTCTACGTTTGTCTAGACTGTTAACCTTAACTTGTATTGAACGACAAAAATGCCAATATACTTTGTCGTGAATTTCTAAAAGTTTTTACGACAGCTGCCGTTTGCTGAAACGACACGCTACGGACTTACAGGATTCTTATTCTCTGAAGCATGCTATTAAGCGTCATGAAGTACAGGGAACAAGAGACATAAATTGAATGGGTACATGTTTATTTCTACATTTTTATACTATAATAGATAAAGCAATCTTGGCATTCACACTCTTGCAACCAAAAAATGCTATGTCTGTAACTGACAAACTGCTCTTTCATTGTAATATACTGCCGAGTTGATAGTAATTTGGATTGTCCCAACTCCCACTTATTGTAACTTCGCCACGCCGCCCCGTGAACTCTAGCACTTGCTCCGACCCTGGATTTCGATCCTATTAATTTATCATTAATAATATGTCAAATACAAACATACATAGTTCTGAAGCAATTAGTCTATTCAAGACACTTTCTCTTATGCAAAGTATACGTTGTACGTCGCAAATTAGGAAAATCGTATTTTTGAAATAACAAAGCACTGTCAAAATGTTAATAACTACTTCTATTGGTCCACCGTACCCTTTCTCCCTTTTATTTGGTGAAAATAATATATCAATATCTTGCACCGGTTATAGAATATTTGGAGACACGGTTTTTGACTGATTTATTAAAGTTCTTTTATGCTAAGAGAGGGTGCTCTTAGGTCCGAAGCTCAGGATGTGTAACGTGTGCATCCGGGTAATAAAATGACCTTTCAAGTTGATCGGCTGCGCCTTAAATCTTGGAAAAGGGATTTGTTAAATAAGAGACGACTGTTATAAACTGCAAGAGGAATCATAAAGTGAGCAAAATAGGACTCTTCCTGATACGTTGCTCAATAGTGATGATTAGGGGCGTATTTTAATGAAATGTCATTTTTTCTTTTCATTTTAGAACAATGCCATTTAGTATAGAAATTAATTTTATATTACGATAAAAGGAAATTATCCATTTTATGTAACTGTGCTTGCATTTTTCGTCGCGTTATTTGTTTTAATTTCTCTGTAATTTTTAATGCATATTCACTTATTTAATAGATTTTAATAAAATTTTAATGCTACATTCTCGGTTCGGCTGATTGGGGGATAAATAAAGACAGAAATATTCAAGTAAAGAACAGTCCAAACCAAAATTTTGTAATCTGAGTGCACTTGAACGAATAGAAAAAGCCTCGATTGCATCAGTAACGTATCCAGCTCCAGTTGTTCATACGAATTGATTTTTGTCACATTTTTTACAATTTTTCTTTGCTTTTAGGGTATTTTAAAACATTTTAAAGCATTTTAATGATCATCTTTGGCGATGTTTTAGGGCATCAAAATCCACCCTCCGCCTAGTAAAGACGTTCTTTAGGACAATGTGATGAATGGGAGGTGAAAAGAATTTGCATGCCAGTGAAACAGCGATATGTTTCATCATATAAATTAGCACGACTTGGAAGAAGAGATAGCGAAGACGAGACAGCTCGTGAACAGATTTCGCTCCCCATTCTTACGACGGTACGAGTGGTACACCTTCGGCCGCTAGAGAGCGGTTAGGCAGTAGCCCTGCTCCGCAGAGAACCACGCTCCGTAGAGTAGGCAACGCGTAACGAACCCGGGACAATTACAGCCTCTACGAAAGCGAAGATAAGTGGCGCGAGTTTCATTTCGCACACACCCGCTGCGCGATAGCAGCAGCAACGCTTATTACACGGGCGTTAAACATAGCCCATTGTCCGGGCTCTCGTTTCGGAAATTTATTGCGCTACTTGCAAACGTGTAAAATCTCAATTTTCGCGCCTCCTAATCCGTAAATTCTACTTTACGCATTGGTAAAGTCCCTCTACGAGTTGGTGCTTAGCACTTCAGACTTTACAACTGTGCAAAGAACATGTAGAACAACAAAGCGTCTACAGCAGGGAGCAACGAAGGGAATTTAAATTTCGCATTCAGATGAAAGTAAATATATTGGGTTCAGGTGTTTGTATTTGTGTCATACTTTCGTATTACGAACGTTGGTTCCACATTTTTTACACATGTAATATTTTCAATTGTTCAAGATGTACTATTAATGTTAGGTATATCAAAATGTATACAGCTTTATCAGTCAGTTTAATTACATTTTTCACTTTATAAAGAATTTGATAATATAATTTTTGATGGTACGGGCATAAAAGTATAAGTAAAAATTTGTATGTAATGCGTAAAAATTTGAAGTTGTAATATATAACTGAGTGGTGTAATATTTTAATTTCATAAAGAACTGCGAGTACAGTTATAGACAGGAGGTTTTTTAAAATGTATGTCCATAGGTTGCCCTTATAAATAGCATGTAAAATATACTGGATTATTTGTGGATAAATCCCTTAATGTTTCACAATTTCTCTAGCATTTTGTACCATTTAATAATTACGTGTTAAGGGCATACGTGCGAACGAAAATACAGCAGTCGAAGCATAATGGTCTTCAAGACGCCGGGGATTGTAATTACAACTTCAGACTGTGAACAACACCGACTAGCTCGTGGGCGCCTCCTGTTGTGAGCGACTGCCTATTGTGTGAACTGAAAGACAAGCGAGAAAAGAAAGAGGGGGAGGGATGATGGGAGGGAAAGAGAGAGCGAGAATTGGACTGTCAAGGGTGTGAGTGACGAAATTGGACAGAAGAACGGGAAATGAGTCGGCAAAAGAACCCACCGACAGACCCGTATTTACTCAGCAAGCGGCCAAAAGAGGATTCCCTCAGTTTGCGAGCAAGAGACACAGACCAGAGGGAGAGACTGAGCAGATAAGAGTAAATGAACTTAAAGAATAAGATGATGCCACTAGATATCAAACTGTAGTGTGAAAATGAAACAGACGAACAGCTATCAGAAATAAAGATGTGAAGAAACGATATAAGCAGGAAATGAACAAAAACAACAAACGGGTTATCGTTTGTTTTGCTAGGGAGACGTAAAACTAATTATAAAACTCAAAAGAAGCCAAAATTAGGAAAGCAAAGTAACTATAACAAGCTGGCAATACTTTTTGACATGAAAAACGATGTAAAAAGCAGATAAAAATATATTAAACAAGACATAAGATAAAATTAATGAGAAATTTGTTGGCTCTTAACGATTATAGAGATGGGCACAGTATCTAGTTTAAGCATAGAGTATTTGCGTCTGAGGCACTTACGTTTATTTTATATTTTTCAGACTGTTCAGGCTCTAGTATCAGACTCTAGTACAAACTCTACTATCAGACTCTAGTATCGACTAGAAAAATATCATAATTGACACAGGAAATGGATTTTTCAGAGGCAACTTGCGGTTATCCAGACACAACGCATCACACATTTTTTTTGTTTTTGTTTGGATCCAAAAGAATTCCATTGAGCTACTATCAGCTTTCTAAATGGGTTTTTGCTACAAGTTTCATTTCTAAAGAGCTTAGTTTATACAAATTTAATTCATAAGAATATTTGTGAACAAGTTTGGAGCTAATAAGTACTCAGTCGGAGTATGTATAAGCGTATTATAAATGTATAAGCGACGTTTTTAAACATATATAAAATTGTATGATACCACGTCGAAAATGTAAGAGAGCAACCATCTTCTTTATATTAATTTTCTGTTTACTTTGTTTTGATGTTAGAATCGTGCCTCTAGACCGATGCACAAAAATATTTTTCCCTCTTTAAAACTGATGACGTACGATGAATAATATTTTACGTTAAAAAAGTTATTTTTGAAGTAGTTGTTCATCTAATTTTAGTAAGGTGTGTATCTTGTGTGCTTGGTAGCTTGTTGGTTTTCGTGCTCGCTTTCCACGCAATCCCGGGTTCGATTTTCGACCGAGCCAGAATTACAACTGTGCACTTTCCTTACAAATGCCCCATTATCTATTGCCATGCGCTATGAGAAAGCCCGCCAAGATTAAGATGATTTGTGTATACGGTGGAAGGATGTCTTCATGGAATAAAAGCTATGCCACTGCTGGTCGGCCGTTGCCCGTATCGTGCTGTTGAGCCAAGAATAAAACAGGTATATACTCTTTAAGGTCGCATCTAGGTCATTAGAGACCACAATTGGATTTACCTATATAGTAACTATGAAGGTGACATGATATGGTGATGATGGAGTGAAATGACGGAACACAAATACGAATACTCGTACAACCATGCCCGAGGCAGGACTCGAACCCGCCATCCTTCAGATAGAGATCGCTACGACACGATCGCGAACTACGATCGCTTCGCCTTAACGATCTGGGCCATCCGGAGGGACTAAATGTATCTTGAAGTGCACTTATTCGCTGGTTCAGTTGCTGCCACGTGCCCTCCACTGACGCGTGCCTTCTTTGCCTTGCAGATTATCGGGCACACGAGCGTGGCGCACATCAACCCGGCGGTGTCGCTGTGCTCGCTCATCCTGGGCAAGATCCGCGTCGTCACCTTCGGCGTGTACGTGGCGGCGCAGATCCTCGGCGCCATCGTGGGCGTGGGCCTGCTCAAGGTGAGATGAGAGGAAGGGAGAGAGTATTCGGTGAGCGAGTGAATGAGTATTCCGTGAGAGATTATTCCGTGACGGAGTGAGTATTCCATGAGTGAGTGAGTATTCCATGAGTAAATGAGTATTCCGTGAGTGAGTGAGTATTCCGTGAGTGAGTGAGTATTCCGTGAGTGAGTGAGTATTCCGTGAGCGAGTGAGTGAGTATTCCGTGAGCGAGTGAGTGAGTATTTCTTGTGCGAGAATTTCTTGAGCGAGAATTTCTTGGGCGAGAAGAAGAATGGTCTCGTGAGAGAGAATTGCGTGTTTTCGGGCACTTCACCTACATTGGCCATCAGGCACATAAGTCTAGTGCACGTTATAGGCGGGAGAGGGATGTGATTCTCCCCGCTTAAACATGAGATCCGGAGGCGACCTATTCGGTGGATTAGGCCTTCAGGAATCTCTCCGGCAATGCATGGAATTCGACAATATCCAAGCTCCCGACAACTCTGCCAACGTGTGTAGTTGTGTAGAGCGTGCGAATGAGTTCACTGTGGGGGAGGGGAGAGGAGAGGATAAGGTTTAGAGGGTAAAAGCGCTGCTACAATTTTCAATAACCCGATGATTTGAAGGAAGTGCATATGTTTGTTTTTAATCACGTGTCAATCACGCAACACTTCGTTCTTGAGTGTCGCGCTGGTTGCCTATAGCACTACAATGTAGGCGCAAGGCACTGACATCGATTGAAAAAAGTTGTTGAAACAGAAATATGCAAGTTTATTTGTCGTTTTGTTGTTGTGGATTATTACGTGTTCTAGAAATAGTTCCCATGGGGAGGAATTTCTGTTTAAGATTAAGAGGAGATTCAAAGACTAATCTGCATTATTTTCTATTGGACTAATAAATTTTCTATAATGATGATATTGACGTGTGTCAAACGTGTGGATTTGTTGAAATTTCGGAATTGAGGCTCACAGTTCTGAAACCTATCTTATGAATAGTATTGGAAGGCAATAACTACTCTTCGTCTTATTTGAAGACCTGAACCTACTTGTAATGATTTCAACATCATTATACATGTGTCTCAGAATAAATGTTGATGTAAATGAACTTCTGGTGTATCGAAGGTAGGGAAGGGTAGTAATTAAGGCTTCTAAGAAAGTGAATCCAAAATTATTAATTGTTTGGCCACGAAAATAGGGTGAAAAATTGCACATAACTGAGTTATAGGGATATTTACAATTACTTTGTTCCTGATTGATAGGCAACTCCGTATGCATATATATTCGGCAGGTACAAGCAATTTCCTCGAGGCGTCTGTACGTAACCTAAATAACATCTCCTAACGAGTTGTCTAAAATTCAAAGACAAATGTCATATGTATAACACCATTTTATATTAACTACTACATGTACATTGGCAAAAAGTGATGCAAAAAGTGATCGTTTTCGACTCCTTTACAGGCCTTAGAAGTTAGTAACATTTATTCCGAGACACTATCCTCTCTCAAAGTCACTGCTCATAACACTGGTATTCACGAATTTAACATCTAATCTGACTAAATCAACATCATCTCGGCATATTTTTGGAGTCAACTGAAACTCATCTCAAAGAGCCATCGAGTATAAATATAAATTGCGGAAGAGCAGGAAAATTACTGCCAGAGGTTCGAGAGAAGGGTAACGCGGGAGCGTAAGGAGAAGCGTCAGAACACAATAACCTTAATAGTTGCCCAGAATACTCACAACTTCCCTCGCTAAACCTCTACTTGCGTAGTCTTCCTTAACACGGGCAACTCCTAGTCTACATCTTGTGGTGATAATGTGCATTTTGGCAATACGAACTAAACAACAACACATTTTCTACCCAATAAAGCAGTTTAGGGTCACTTTTGGTAAATGATAAATGCTATAAAACGAGAAATCCCAATATGCTTCCAAGTTTCATAAGAAATGTATAAAGAGTTTGAAATGCTTCAATTAATGTTGACTCATTTTGAAGCGCTATGTGATCTGACAAATCGACAATCCATCTATTCCAGAATACAATACAATTAAGGTTAGAAATTTTGAGAATGGTGATGGGAACGTAAACGATACTACAAGGAGGGTGATAGTGAGTGAGACAGAGAAAAAGGAGAAGGTTGAGAGAGCAAGAGAGAGGGAGAGATCGTAGTAGGTGCATATCACGTAATTTTGAGAATGGTGGTGGGAAGGTAACTGATGCTACAAGGAGAGTGATAGTGAGGAAGGCAGGTAGAGGAGAGAGTGCGATGGCTAGTATGTGTGTGCAAGAGTAAGGGAGATAATATATAATAGGAGTATCTCAGAATTTTGAGATTGATAGTGGTAACATAACTGAGGCCATAAAGAGAGGGATAGTGAGGGAGGGAGGCAGAGAAAAAAAGGTGGAGAGAGGAAGAGAGTGGGCTCTGTAGTATGTGTGTCTGTGTGTGAGTGTGTGTGTGTGTGTGTGTGTGTGTGTGTGTGTGCAAGAGAGAGGGAGAGATCGTAGAAGAGGTTTAACATGGAATTTTGAGAATGGTGGGAAGGTAATTGCCACAAGGAGGATGCCACAAGGAGAGTGATTGTGGGGGAGGCAGAGGAGAGAGGAAGAGAGTGGGGTTGGTAATAGTAGTGTGTGTGTGTGTGTGTGTGTATGTGCGCGCATGAGAGAGAGAGATAGTGTGCAAAAGGGGCATATGACGGAACAGGGAATTTGGCGCAAAGGTTAACTGCATGTTGTAAACAAATGATAAATGTAAATAAAATACCATCAAAAATTACCCATGTGTGCAACAATTAATACTCAAAATGCCCCAAAACGATCTTTCGCATGGTGGTTGTTGATACAGAATGAAATTCTTTTTTCCCCGTCGATATTTTAAACTTGTTCTGTCAATTTTATTCACTGCACTGGGGCAGCATATCACAGTGTTTTGACCCACATGAAATATGTAGCAGCACAGAAACATTTTAATTTCCGTATCTCTTATTCAAAGACAACCGCAGACACGGTCACAGACACCACGACGCAACAACAGACACGGTCTGGTCACAGACACCACGACGCAA